TTTWAARKKGKTTWAMYWAAMMRGKTTKGAAAACTATCTACGAACACTGCACAATATTTGGTGAAATAATGCTTGAAACTATCGTTTGTCTTGCTCTGATAATATTTTAGAAAATTTCATTATATTGTAGGTTTCTAGTTTCTCAATTTTTTTCCTRATGAAAACATAGTTTAACTAAACACGCTTAGGTGTGAATGGGGTATTATTAGTGTTTTATTTCGTTTTAGGTTAGTTTTAGCAAGGAAAGCTTCGTGTAAATTTAATATCAAATCAAAGATTTGAATATATAAAAAGAGACTTAAAGTTAATTTTAAGCGACATAAATTTACCAGGTGCGAAAACAAAGCAAACAAAAACAAAAAGAACACAACTTACCGGTGAATGCGAGAGAAGATCACTTTCGCCATCTTGTTCTTTCTCGAAATATCGAAGCATCCAATCACGACTCTCGTACCACTTCGTTTCATTTTCTAAGCTATTACTTGATTGGTCAATGAAAACTGAACATCCGTTCTCGATATTTTTCATCCCCAATTTAAAAAAAAAAACTTACATTAAATTCATTTGTTACGTAAGCTTTACTAAAGTCGAATTCATCTGATTCTTGAGTCAGCTTTTACCTTATTAAATGAAGCAGCGAGATTTAATAAAGAAAAATCGAGTAGAATAAAGTACCTACATGACATAACCTTATCCATAATTCTGCACAACCAGAGGGTTTTTTCATTCCCCTCTAAAGTAAGTTTCTTTGTGCATCTGCGATACGTGATTATGAAGAAGCCATTATGCATTGTAATATACCAATAATACCAATGGTACAAATCAATAGAAAGAGTCGACAATGAAAACTATTGTTTGTTTTGGCCTATCTCGACATTACAGACATTTTGAAAGCCGAATAAAGACAAAATTTAGTCTTCGATTCTGTATACAAACTGTATCTAATCGAAGTCTTCGATAAATGTGCTACAAGAAATATTCAGGGAGTTGCAGAGAGTATGTTGTTAAAATCCTGGGCTAAATTGTCCCGGAATTTTCCATGTTATTAGGCTAAAATAATTTAAAATTCTGAAGGCATAGTCAAATCGTACATGAACTTTATAAATTTAAACTTTGCATACTCACTCAATTGTATAGTGGGTCAGGTAATTCTGAATGATTTTTGGCAAGTGTGGACTTTTCATAAAGTAGTTTATATTCGAGAGGGAACTAATCAAACTGCCTGGACTTTAGACCTTGCAAGATACGAAGACGTCATAATAATAATACCCCCATACAATGTCCCCATACAACCGGTTAGTAGTCATTGCATAATAGCAACATACATACCTTGCTCGAACGAGTTTCCAGCGTTGCTAGCCATTGGCGGTTACTAAAACTAAAGGTTAACATAGCGTCAGAATCCTAGGTCAAACTTATGTGTTTTAATCTAAAGCAAAAACATGCATCACACATTTTTTTGGATTGCTCAACGCTAATATTTAGCAACAGCAGTGGCGTGGTTCCGGAAGTCTTGATACTGAATTGCTGCCAGGTAAACAGAACTGCAACAAAACTTATTGTGTTGTAACATTTAGCATATAAATACTTTCTACGATCTTATAAGCTGTATATAACGAACCTTTAAAAGCTGTAAAATTGGTGAAATGTTATAAAGATTGTCTCCTACAGCGTGTTGAATTCGGAAGTTCACAGTAGTTGTTGGAAGACGAGTTCAATAAGCACGTGACAGTAGAGGTCGGCATTTATATGGTGTCTGGTTAACTGATTTCTACACTTCCGGCCAACCGCGTTATACTCAAAGGAGAGTTCTGTAGAAGATTACATTAGTTTTTCAGCTATTATTGATTTCAGAAATAAACTATGACCCGTCGGAGATGTTTGTAAACTTTAGCGTGACCACCAGCAATCCTAACTCAGTGCTTCGTTTTCTTTCAGTGGAGGGAATGGGGGGAGGGGGGGTGACGAGAATTCAAAGGCGCCCACTCTGAAACCCTCTTAGATCACGCTGAAACTTTTAGTACCAGAATATTGGCGAAGGTGCAAACAACGACTAAAGATAAGTTCACTGCAATGTGTTCGGATAAGTACGTTTTATTTTCGTATCTCTATTAGAAGTGTCACACATAATCTTACTGACGAGACTATTGGGCTGCCTGTGGACCGGTATAGGGGAAAACATATCTTTTTTATCCTTCCTTTTTGGCTTTGCTTTTTGGCAGAAACCAAAAGGTACTCTGGAAACGAGAATGGTTCTAATACCAACACCGCCTATTCTTGGGGGGCATGTTACTTCATAGCCGCCTGGTTGGTTTACGATAACAAAGCATTCCTCAATAGCTTCTTGCATAAGATCAACCAACATGATGGCTGCTTCATTAATTGTTATTTGTATCTCAAGATTTTTTTTGAAGTCATGTGGTTGCATCCCACTTAAGAATATTATACAGAACCCGGAGTACTATTGCTCAACTTTTTTTCGTCTTCATATTAGTGGAAAAAATTAGGCAAACAAGAAAATAAGAAAACGAAAACAAGCGGGTTTTTTTTCGATATCAATATTTTTCTTCGAAGCAACTTTTGATGACAGCAATAGACGTATTAGCCTTCTCCGCAGGCTTTTCCTTGGGCTTCTTTTTGCTTGGCGCGCTTCCTTTGGCATAGAGCCGCGGAGTTTGTTTATTCGTTCCCAGGCTCCTATATAGAGATTCAGAGAGATGCCTCCGCCGCCCGGAGGAGGCTAAGACGTAATAAAAACTGATGCCATTACATGTAGTAGTGACGTCATAGCTTCAAACATGCACCCAATCTCGTACCCAGAGCCAACGTTCCTATTGGTCAACACCGAGCAAGAGGAACTCCAAAGGCTCTCTCACTCCAGTGCTTCCCGTCTATCTAGCGCCCAATCTACACCTTCCAGTTATATTGGACAGCGCGCTTATACCTAAAGAGAACCCTGATATTTTAGCCCGTGTACAGCCGCCTCCCACCCTTACCCTACGGGTTCTTTCCCCGTACGGGAGGGGTAGAAAGCGGCAGTACATAGGTTATGATATTGGAGGACATTTGAGCCCTTTCCCGTTCAGCCTTTTTTCATAATGACCAACTCTTTTCTCATTATAATGGTTATTGGGAATGACTGCAAGCAAACTACCAATACATTTTAAAGGAATTGGCAAATCGCTTGGGTTCTTACTGTATTTTAGAAGGGGAAAACGAATGTTTTTATATTTCATAAATTCCAAAGCTACGGTTTGCTATAATAAAGGTCCAAAGATACAATGGTTAATAGCATTGCGTGAAACCCTGTAGAATTGAGCGGATTTTTTCATGCAACATTTCGCGTGGAAAAATTAGTGCGAAAAACATCTGACTAAATTTTTTCCGCTTAACATCAGGCGCAAGCTCTCTCCGGCAAAGTTGCAAAAAAAATCCGGGACCTAAGGCTCAGGTCAAACGTCGAACTTCCTGAGCCAAACCTAATTGAAACAAGGTGGTCTTCTTTGATGTAATTAGGTTCGGCTCTTGTGAAGTTCGACGTTTGACATGAGCACAGACGCAGCTTTTCAAGATTAAGACTGAACCAAACCATTATCCTGTTTGCAATTCATTTTTCTGCTAAACAGCTTCCATGATTTTCTATAGAATGTCCAGTGAAGGGCCCTGAAAGCATTTCTATTATTTCACTTCGTTTGTCTTGAGGAATTTATAAAAAAAAAAAAGACAATGAGGGAGGCTAAAACCTGACACTAAGGAACACAGCGGTATTTTTAAGCAACCGATAACTATGGTTCGTCCCTCGGTCATATCCTAAAAGTGCTATAATAAGCCTATGATCGCACTCTACAATCCCTGACATTCGAAATACATTTGCCACGGGTTTCCAGTGAGAGGAATTCTCTTGGAAGCCATTTCAGTGTTGTAGTATTTTTCTTAGTGACCTGTGTCCCACCGCGATTTTTTCTTTTTCTGTTGCAATTGTGCTTGCTCGGGAGGTCTCATCGGTTCGTTTGATTTGCTCGAGTCCCATGATGTTAAGCTCGATGAGGAAGCACGGCAAAACGAATTCATGTACTGCGACTGGAAAAAAAGACAGCCATGAATAAATAAGGTTCATCAGGTTCTAAGCAATTAAGGAGTATTGGCGGTTCAAAGACTCTTAGATTAGAGATGAACACACTACAGTGGTACCTCTGTTGAGCGGATACCTTTGAGATCCTCTTGCCTGGTGTCCGCTTAAAAAAAGGTGTTCACTGCATAGAGGTTTATTTCACAGTAAACATGTGAAGAATGTCGAGACCGTACAACTGCCTGTAAGGTTAATGAAGGGTATCACACTGTACTTTCTTATGATTCACATTGCTTCATATGCATCAAATTAGAGGAGCACTTTGCATGAACGAATAGAACTTAAAAGAGTACTATGAGAAGGCAATTCGATGGTCGTGGGTAAAAGGTGCAGGTGCGGGCAAGAGGTGCGGGTAAAAGGTGCTGGTTACTAAATCATTAATTCATCAATAAAACCCATACCCGCAACCGAAAGTCAAACTATACTAATAAAGCTATTATACTTTTGAGGCTTTCGCGTGAAGATGATAACGCGTGGTTTTCAAAAACTTGTTGTTTCGACATATTACTAAAACAATTTCCATTACCCTTCATAAGCATTCGTTTTACACGCGAGATGCAGTATTCTTTTTTACCTTGAATGCAGTTTTGACAGTTGATGTTCGACTGCCCATGGAAGGCTGGCCGAACACGCCCCCTGAAGGTGGTTTATAGGATGCGTGCGATGTAGCCATACCACCAGATCGAGTTTGCTCCTTTGATAAAAAACAAACAAATACAAACTAGTTCCAGGTCGACTTGCAAGGGAATCCGTGATATTTTTTCATTCCCCCTCCAACATACATATTGTGGATGTCTGTAGTACGACTTACATTAAGCACGGACACACGGTGTTACATTTCGCGCAACATTGCAGGCAATGTCGCTGAAGTAGGATAGTTTCTACTTTAGCAACGTTGAGTGCAACAAATTGCGTCGTGTGTCATGGCTTGCAACATCAATTGCATGTAAAATTGCGCGAAAATGTTGCAGCGTGTGTCCGTAGCTTAACTGGGAATCAGCACTCGCCACATCTGGCTGTTGGGTTCGATTCCTGGACTCGACTTCACATTTCACATGAAGAGTGTTTATTCAGCCCAAGTTTTACCATTTTTGTAATTTCATACAGTTTTCGTTATCGATAATACACACTGTCACAACTGAACAAAGCTTGTTGTTGTTGATATTTTTGTTTTTGTTATTGTTATAAAGTGATGTCAGGCTCAAACAGAACGATTCTTGGTATTCATAAACGCAAGATGCCATCCAAAAATTGCCCCAACGTATTTTCTAACGCAAATTTGCCTTAAATACCCCCTCCTCCTAAGATAGACCAACCCAAAAGGAACATCGAGCGAATATAAACGCTTTTTTTACGGAGGTCTATCACGTCTATCTGATTTACGGGTTTTTCAAGTCCTAATTGTTCTTTTACATACCGTTTTCTCTGGCAGTCCTAAGCCTGGTCTTTCTCGAACACGTGGTTTTCCACCTCGATCGATTCTCTTCCCAGAACCGTGTTTGAATCGGGACTTCCTGAACCAAGAGTTCTACGATCAAGTAAATGAGTACTGCAGTCAGTATACACCCAAAGAGAACTGTCTGCGTATCTGTGAAGCATAGTTCAGCTAATGGATGGCGGAGGAGGAGGAGGAACGGGATAGAAAAGATCGCTTGCCTCTCACCAAACATATTTTCTGAGATAGCGAGCATGGGGCATTGATGGTCTAGCTTGGGTACAGACATCTTCTGTTCATCATGCCTTATATGGTGTGGCTTGTACCGAATCTAGACCACAATGCATCTTGTTTATCGAACTCAGAAAAGCCCTAAGGTGACCCAGGTTCAATTCCCGGACTCGGCGTCGTATGTAAGTAGTTGTTTGTTGGTTCTCTCCTGTGCTTTAAGGGTTTTTTCTCCGGGTTCTCCCGTTTTTCTCCTTCCACAAAAATCAAAATCAACTTCTAAATTCCAATTGGAATTTCAGTGGATGAAGGGCCACTCTGTGGAAATGCCACTGATAAATCTTATTTATTACTATTATTATTAGAAGACTTCCTTTCGTTTAACCCTTCCCCCAACTTCAAATTCCATTTTTATCATCAAAAACAAACTACCCCGGTCTTTGTCATCTGATCTGTCTCCAAGGGAATTACTCTACACCTACACTCACCTTCATTGCCAGTTCCAATAGAGGCTCGGGAACAGTTTGATTAGCAATTTCCTAAAGATTTACATAAGATCAAAAGAATTAACGGTTAGAATGACACGTGGTCTGAAATGGGAAAATACTATTGGGCCAACAAAATTTTACGGGTCCATTAAACTGCAATGATGGCTTTTTCAAAACGAAAAACCAAAAAACTATATGAATCCTCTTTGAAGGACGATTTTTAAAATATTTTCCGCTCTACCTTTATGATAAACAGTTAGCAACTTACCAAATTGCGAACGAGGTCCCCAGCAAAGTTTTGATCTGCAGACGTCAGGAGTGTGTATGCCACACCTTTCATTCCTTTGGCAACATAGGAAAGGAATCCAAATATAAGCTTGTACACTTGGAAAAGCGTAACCTGTTTGTAGAAGTCTTTTTCTGCCCTCCGTTCTGGCTTTAGGTCGGGGGACCAACCTGCCGCTCACTTCTAAGGAAGGGGGGGGGGACAAAAACAACCCCTTTCTGCATGGTAAGAGTAGAGGTACATGAAAAATCTCTTGATCGCTAATGTTGGGTAAGGTGGGTTGAAAGTGCAGCATCCCGGCAGGAACAGGGAACCAATCAGATTTCCCGTATGATAATATACTGTACTGTACCTGCACGGCCTGTTCGTCCAATCCTGTGAGTATGTGTCGTGATGTCACGCGCCACGTCATAATTGATTACAGTCTTAATGGAAGGGATATCCAAACCACGAGCTGGAAGGGTATTAAGAAGAATCTATTACCATCAATGCGTGACATAAAAGACCCCGTTATTTTGTGGTACTTTGCTCTTATCATCAGTAATGGCCAGCTTACCTGCTACATCAGTTGCAACTAGTATTGGCACTTCCTTTTTTCTAAACTGACCAAGTACTTTATTCCTCTCAAACTGATCCATATCACCATGTAAAAGGGCCACTAGAAAAAACAACAAATGCTTTATTTTCTATTAAAAGCAATAAAGACAAGGTTTCTTTCTATAGGATTCTCTCATTATATCATTGTAGAGACATCTTTAATAGGCTTCTTTAAAGTGGGTGTTACTGTATGTTTTCCCGTTTAAGGCCATGTGTCATTACCTAGAGCATCATTTAGTCGTGTTATTGTTGTGCATGAGAAGACACATGAATATGGATACACCTCAAACAAAGAATGTTAACTCAGCTTAAATGTTATTTTTTATGTTGAAAGGAAAACTGGAGTACCTAGTGCAAACCTTCAAGGGAAACAACACTGCCTTTATAAACAAACTGTATTCACATGTAACCATCAGCAGGAGTCAAACCGGTTGCCGAACCCTTTGGACCCTTCCATCTTACAAAGTATGTATCAGTTGCTAAAGAAATTAATATAATTTGAAGTTGATTATTAAGTCTATTATTAATCACCACAAGATACCTTCAAAATCATTCTTTTTCAGGTTGCTGGCCAACTCTTCACAATTGGCCTTTTTGGTAACAAATATCAGTACACTGCCATCTGAAATGTAAACAATCAGTTATTTAGACATCCTTTGCCACTCAAAGGCCTGAGATGATGATTGATGATGAATGATGATGATTGATAATGACTGATGATGATGATGATGCCAATCGATGATGATGATGATTGACGAGGATGATGATCATGATTGATGATAATGATGATGACTGATGTTGATGACTGATGTTGATTGATGATGATGATGACGATGACAACTATGACGATAGGTTTTGCTATACAACAGAGAAGCATGGGATGAGAGGTAATCTTGAACCCATTATCTTGATGATTGATTGATGATGATGATGACAATGTCAACTATGACGATGATGATGATGAGTGCTTTCTGCTTTCTGCCCATAGGTTTTGCTATACAACAGAGAAGCACAGGATGAGAGGTCATCTTGAACCAGGGTAGATTCCACAGCATCCTACCTGATGTAAAGGATACTAAATTTTCTGTAATCCATGTCCATTTTTCTGGTGGAGAGTTGAAAATATTTACAACTTGGGTAACATCTTCATTTGCCTTTTGTATAAAATATAAGATACACATATATAGTAGGAACATTACTGATGAAATGGAAATATTATTATGGAAAAACCATTATGGAAAAATAACAAAATATTAAGACATGATACATACCTCTCCTAGTTCTCCAATAACAACTCTGATTGGATCTGTGAGAGTGTCTCGGCACAAGTATTCAACTTTCTTTTTAAAAGTTGCACTGAACAATAAAGCTATATAAGGACAATGCATAAGGTATTAATAAACAAACAGTAGTCAATATAGTCAAACCTTTTCAATGAAGTTATATGATGGCTAACATACTTCTTTCTGATGTACAAAAATAATAATATAACAATTCTGTAATAAAACTTTCAATTTTAATTATTAATAGTATTTAAATTAAAACATTTCTGTCTTGTGTCAAGTGTTGCTTCGTAGGTTGGTGTCATAATAATCATTATAACTGAATGTTTTTTCAACCCCATGTTATATTATGACAAAAATACCATGATGATTGTAATTCATTTGAAGATAGACGAAGATAGGCACAAATGCCTGAAAACAACCCAGTTTATAAAAGATAATTTTCATACTTTGTCTGTCTGGTCTGACATTGTTGGCAATTGATCTCACTTGTGGCTCTGAAGGGGAATAAGAAAATACAAAAATAAATATTATTGCTAACTTTGACAAGAATATTAGGCGATACTTTTAGATAGACATATGGTGGAAACATAGGCTTTTTTGGGGCTTTTTCAATAATTTTTTTTTTATTACAAATGTGTGCTGTTGAAGTCATAATATAGCAAGCATTTAAAGTGACATGCCTTATTGAAAATCAAGTGAACATACAGTACTGTACCTAAACAGTTACAGTGTTATGGAATTAGAAGAATATGAGGGTTAACTAACATTCTATATATTACAGTATATAATGATTTCTCCATCCACCGGAAATTTTTTAGAGTCATGCATTATTCATGGTCAATACCAATAAATTCAACACGGCAAATGTGTACAATCTAATACTGTTTAAATACATGGGCAAAACACAATATTGAACAGCACCCCAGATGCCTTGGTGACCAGCTTTAGGCCATGATCCACCAAATTTGATCCTACTATAATACTCCTTTGACAATCCACATCACCCGTCCGACAGTTTTGAAAGAAAATATACTATCTAGTTGCAAATAACAGCCAACAAATGGCCATTGACAGGGTATCTTGGTCACTGATCTTGCATTTTACCAAATGTATGGTTAAGGCTGTATAATGATACTAACCAAATCCCATGTCAAACATTCTGTCCGCTTCATCAAAAACCAGAAATGTCACTCTTCTTAAATTTGTTGCTTTGGATTTAACATGGTCTATCAATCTTCCCTGATAAGTAGAATAAACCCTAATCAGCTTGTAAGAGAATAATGGCTGAGAGCACATGCTGTGATGTTGTAACATGGTGTATGTTGTGATATTGAGGTCCAGGGTAATCAGCTATTTCAAAAAGGGTTTAAGGGATTACATGTTACTGCAAATGGTAGATTGGTGAATGGAAATTACACAACCAAAAGGAAATGTGGGCATACATCTAAACACAAAAAAAATTGTGTGTTTTAAATGGTTTCATTGACTACAAATAACACTAAATATTTAAACAATAACCACCAGTCAACACTTATCTCTGAATGACAGTAATTTACCCCTTGGTGGTTTAGCCCCTTGGTGGTTTAGCCCCTTGGTGGTTTAGCCCCTTGGTGGTTTAGCCCCTTGGTGGTTTAGCCCCTTGGTGG